AACTCTCCCGCCCCATTCAGCTTTGTTTCACTTAAAGCCAGGACATCCAGCTTCTTCTCATTCATAACATCCACAATCATCTCTTTCTTATCATTCGCACAACATCCACACACATTCAGACTTCCCACTTTGACAATTATCTTCTTCTTATTCTTTTTAGTAATTATTACAGGAAAAGGGGTTACCAGCCCATTGTTCTCGACATTTTAGTTGACTTTTACAACACGCATGGCTTACGGAGGAAAGATTCTTATTCCACTTCCCCAGGATAATAAAAGGAAAAGTAATAAAAACAAGAACTAAGATAAAATCAAAGAAAACTCAGATGAGTGTGTATAAATAAACATGTACATGTATGTTTAGTGTGACCTAAGTGTAAGTAGAAGCAGCAAGACGTACGTGTAATCTTGCATATTTATGAGATACACAAAAGTCACCAGCAATCCTACCATCATGTAAAACAATTACAGGCTTTCGTTTTACACTCACTTGGCAGGACGGTAGTACCTCCCTGGGTGGTTGCTGTCTACTGTGAGGAAAATGCAGTAACATTCATTGACAATTGGGACCTCTTCTATGGCAGAAATGACATGTATGCCAGGGATGGGGTTCACTTATCTAGATCTGGGGTGGGGCACTGACAACTGCAGTGGAGGGAGCTATTAGGACTTTAATCTAGGAATAGTTAGTGGTATGGGTTTTGGTGGGAAATCAGTGAAGTTCCAGTGTAGTAATATTATGAGTTCTAGGGTAACTAGTAATAGGCAGAATGAGGTGGATATTGGAAAGCCAGTGGCACTTGGTGACAAGGACAGTAATAGGTCTAGTGGAAAAACAGAAATGAGCAGAAAGGGTAAAGAAAAAGAAGGGTCTTTAAATATACATTATGCTAATAGCCGTAGTGCTAGGAATAAGATGGACGAGTTGAGATTAGTTGCTAGTGCAGGTAACATTGATGTATTTGCCATAACGGAGACGTGGTTTAATTAAAAAAGTTGGGACATGTCTGCAGAATGTCACATTCAGGGTTGTAAATTGTTCCAAGTAGATACAAGTATCAGGAAAGGGGGTGGGGCAGCACTGTATATCTGAAATTACTTGAACTGTTGCATAAAAATGGGTATTAAGTCTGAAGTAGCACATACAGAGTCTGTTTGGATAGAATTTTCAGAGGGGCATGAAAAATTGATTTTAGGAGTGATATACTGTCCCCCAAACTTAGAGAGAGACTAAGGGAGACTACCATGGGAGGAAATTGTTAAGGCCACAAGGCACGATAATGTAGTAATTCTAGGAGACTTTAACTTTCGTCATATTGATTGGAATTTCTTGACTGGGAATTTAGAATTTAACGACTTCAGAGAAGTAGTTCAGGATTGTTTTTTGAAGCAGTTTGTGACAGAGCCTACAAGGGGAAATAACCTGCTTGACTTGGTTTTGGTAAACAAGGAAACCCTTGTTAATAATTTAGAAATTACAGAGGAACTCGGCACAAGTTATCACAAATCAATGGAAGTATGATAGTAGGGATAATTCAATAATGGTCCCAGATTTTTGCTTAGCAGATTTCAATGGGCTTAGAGAACATTTATCATCTGTGGACTGGGGTAACAAAGAGAGCTATCAGTATGATAGCTTTCTTAACCCTTAGACTGTCGCAGGCCCCTTTCTGAAACTGTCATTCTATGTCTCAAAATATACGAAAAAAAAAAAATTTCTTATGAAAATGTTAAGATTATTTTTCTGAGTGTTTTATTCCCAAAAAATTTTTTTGCCATCAGTACTTACCGAGATATAGAGCTGTGAAGTTTGCAGAAAATGAGCCGCGTATGGCAACAGCGGCAACTGCCGCTCACCTGGTAAACTTTAGTTTACTTGTATTTGAAGGTTTTTTGTTTTTTCACTATTTTATTTTTTCACATAACTTATGTGGCCTATGAGACCAAAGTAAGGTGCAATGTACACATATACACTCGTTGTATACAACACAATAAGCACACAAACATAATTATCAATATATTGTTTACAAAACTTGTTTACAAAAACAAACAATAAAAAAAACTGTTCATTACTATTGTTCTGTAATATATATACCAATGTACAGTCACCGAACATATTCCTAGAAGTTCTGCAGCTTGTGGAACTCTTTGAAACATGTTTTCATACACAATGGTGTTTTACACTCCTCACACATAAAACCAGTGTGTGTGCATTTTTGTGGACTTTTTTTTTTATGTGCAAAGACAAAACACCTCGTCTGAGCAGTTTTCTTCCAAGTATTAGCAGGCAGTTGTGTTATGTAGTTATCCTAGGTAAATGG